GGAAGAAATACAGTAAGAACCAAATAATAGTGTTAGAGAACAAACTAAACAATTAATCTATGACATAAAGCTGAAGACTAAGAATACATATCCATCCTCTTTTCCTTACAGTACCACATATCCGAATCACTTCTATCAAATCTATTTGAATAGTTTATCTTATTCAAAGTTGCTAAAGATGAGTTCATAGGGTGTATGGCTTCGTAGCGTAATATCTACTTTTTTCTTGACATATATGTCACACTTTCCCATTCCACATGAAACTGCTGTGTCAATTCAAATTTACCACAATATTAATTCTTGTTTCCATAGCTGCAAAAGAAGTGTTTGAAATGAAAATATGAGTTGAAGTGCAAATTGTTTGTAGTATTTAAAATACATACATTGACAAAAAGTAAGGAAAAAAAAAAAAAAAGTCATATCCAATTAGATTGACCAGAAGCTCAATCAAACATAATATCAAATGTAAAACCCGTTACTTTGCATTTCGTTGACATTTGGAGCTGTTTAAATTAGCTTTTGTTACCAAAATCTAAACAATTGAAAGAAGAACCTCTTCGAAGAAGAGTTTACAGTAACTACGTACTATAATGCTTTTGTCTACAATAATATTAACACAATAAATAAAAAAGAGTTCTCAAATGTACAGAATCTTTACTCTGTTTTTTTCAAATTCTAAAGCATGATACGGTATCTACCAAATGGAAATAATAAAAGGAAGAAGAACCTTAAGAGTATATGAATGGGCAATCTTTTCCTATATGGAGGAGGAATTAACTCAATTAACCAGAAGAAAAAAACAAAAAAAAGGAAGCTAAAAGTGGATGATCCTGCAATTGAAAAACCCAAATATGCAGTAAAAACAACCAAGAGAAAACATAAGCTAAAAGAAATCACACTAAAAAAAATCAATTGAAATTAAGCAATTACTGTGCACTTGATCGACCCTAAAGTGACGTACAAATGCCAATTGTCAAAAAATTTAAGAAACCATTTTGAAATTAAGCAGACATTGTTGTAATAAGAAAAAACCTCAAATGTGCAATATAATTGAAATCAACTCCATTTGGAGGGAATTAAAGAATGCCAAAACCACAATAACTTCATATTACATTTAACATTTTGGCTAATATGTTATAAGCACAACCAACTCATCCATATTAAGAACCCAACAGAAATAATCAACTTGTGAACGAAAAGAAAGACGTGAACAGAAAATAAATTCAACAAAACTGGAAAAATGAAGAGAAGAAATTCCACTTATGAAAGGTGGTTAGGGAAAAAAAAAAAGAATCAAAAGTAGAAGAAATTCCACGACCGACCTGCGTATTTATCCTATACAACAGTCGTTGTCAAACTCTTCGGTGAAAGATCTACACATTGCTTATATCTGTGAGATGAATATGACAAACATTTGAGGTTGAATTAGTGAATTTCAAATACAATGGAAAAGAGAAAATGCAGACCACATCTTGATGAACAAAATTAGAGAAAATGGCGGATAAAAAACGGAAAGGGAAATCGATTAGGTACTCATGATTAAAGGAAGATTAGAAATTTCATTAAAATAAAAAGAAGAATTGAAAGCAAAATCAAATGTAGAAGAAAATTCCATTAATTGATAGAACAATCACGATTTGTCCAGATTCTTATAGCCTTACATGAAGCTTTGCACTGTGCATTTTTTTTGCCTGAAGCAGCAAAAGATGGAAAAAGCACGATAAATAATTGGAAAATGGATTAATATAAACAAAAACTCCCCAGAGCCAAGAGTTTCCTTGTAAGCATAAGAACCTCACCAACGGGCTTCATTGGAATGTAACGAATGCAAGGGGAAACATAAAGACACTTACATAGAGAAGAAACAAATCCAAGTTTTTCACTCAAAAGAAAATAACCAACAATCATACATGAAAATAGAAGGAAAAATGAATTTGGTTAATGGTGGACAACCGTTGGAAAAGAATGTAGAGATCATGGAGAATCCAAGATTGAAAGTTATTTGCAATAAGAATCAGTCGATGTAGAGGAAGAGTCTTTGTCAATATATCTATTTGTCTATTTCTCCCTCCCCCTCGTTATCTTCTCCTTGATTTCTGCACGACTACAAATAAATTACCAAAAGTAATATGAAACTAAACTTACCCAGTGAAATTTGAACACAATGAATTACTTCTCCAGTAGAGTTCATTTCCAAATCCTACTACTTTGAGAGGATTTTAAAAACTCCGTTTTCTAAAAATTTGGAATCTCTAATAACTGAAGAATCACACTATGCAAAACCCAAGTTGTTTATTAGGACAAAGAATCGCAAATGCCCCGGCATTTGAAATCTCATACTTCATTTGAGGTTTTTTTCTAATTGCAAACCCAACAATAATAATCCAATCGAAATTGATTGTAAAGACAAAAAGCGAAGGAATTTAGGAAAAATCACCTGAAATCTTGTCTAAATCGAGTGCGGATGCCGACGGAACTTTGAAAAAACACAAAGAAGAGGGGTCTGTGCGGAAGACGAAAGTGGGTTCGTTTCTTCCGATGTATGACATGTTGTTCACTATAGAATATGTAGTAGATGGCGGTTCCATCTCCTCAGGTGTTTACAACCGCTGCGGTTAGATGTGGTGTTTGAGAGTTCTACTCTTTCGTGGAGTGTTTTTTATTTTTTTATTTTTACGTTTATTTCTTTCGAAAAGACACAATGCAGTATTTGTGGGAGGATTAATCCAAGGGTCAAAATGAATTTGAAGTGCAAGTATTTTCATCTGGTGGTTGTCAATTGTTATAGTTAAGATGGGTATTTTTTTAATTTGCTTTTTTTTTTTTCTAAGATAATTTTATACTCTGTTATGTTTTTTACTAGTTTATCCTCATTTTTTGAAATGTTTTGGGTTTGGTTGTGAAGAAAACAAAAGGGCTTTCTTGGCATTTTGAAATGCTTTACCTATTTGGTCTTCTCCCTTTATATATATAGATGAGGCTACTATATTTCAAGCTTTATTGAGAAATATCATTCCCAATGAGCAGAAAAATAGGGTTAGATCCACCACTAAGGCTAGTAACTTCCCGTATTGGGTAGCATAAAATTGGGCTACATTTAGCCCCAAAAACAGTGGGTCCCACAAAAAAAATAGCAACTCATGTGAGCAAAATTCTATCATTGTCCATCCACTTGCAAATACACTTATACTCTCCTTTATTCTTTTTTCTTACATATTTTCTTGCAATTTGGCTAATTAATTATTGTTTTAAAATTCATAAGAATTATAATTTCAATTGATTTAACGTTCATGGTCAATGGTGGGTGAAATTTTCAAATAATCTTTTTTCATAATTGTGGGATACTAATTTACCAATTGGTACTAGATAAATTGTTGTGTTGTATGTGAAAATCAAATTATTTCAGAGGGCGAAGTTGTGGTTTGTATCTTTCAACGGGTAAGATTAAGATAAGAGAATCTAATCTAACGAACAGTTCATTAGTGATGAAATCTAATTTTGTCACAATTTGAACTTTTTTGGGTTGAAAGGTTCAAAAAAAAAAAAAAAAAAAAAAAAAAAAGATAGCACGTCCAAAAATCAACTCAAGAAAGTTAACACACAAAAAAAAATTATCGGATAATCAAATTACTAGATAAATAAATATATATAGCCCCATATAGAGCCCAAAGAAATAGTCTTTAATTGTGAGAGATTCTTTTATAAAGCTCCAAAGATTCATGGAAGATCTAAAAATGGCTATATCCACCACTTTTCCAACCCCATATAGAGCCCTTCACTGGGGATGCTCTTAGCGGATAAAGAATTACACGGAACATGTATATTGTTGTCGTGGTGTCTCAATAATTAAGCGATGTGTTTTTCTCCACGTCACTAGCATGAGACTATAAAATAACAATATAACTTGCTAACACGATAAACAAGTACAATAATGCACAAGAAATGACAGACTACATACGATACAACTACAATATAACTCACTGACACGATAAACAAGTACAGTAATGCACAAGAAATGACAAACTCGCACATCAAAACTATCAAGAATTAGGGCAACTTAATCATACTCGCAAAATAGCTAAAACAAAACTAAACTCTCTTAAGTTGTAATAAGATCAAGAACCCACTTACTATTATGAGAAAGACTCACTTTTTTTATGACCTCATGCTTGTCAAATTTTAGTTTTACCATTACGAGATTTAGCCATTCTAGTTGTTGTTGGATAATTTATTGGTTCATTTGATGAAGAACTCAACTCAAATTCGGTTAACCTTTTTTAAACCTCATGCTTGTCGAATTAATAGTTCACCAGTTTAGAGATTTAGCCGTTCTAGTCGCCTTGTAGATATGCTGGTGCTGCTCTGCATATCTGGTTTAGGTTTATAGTGCCTGCATTTCTTTTACTTATGGTTCGGTTCACATCAGTCAATTGATTCATTGTATAGCACCGTCACATCATTTGCCATTTCCTTCCTCGTCATACCCTTCATTTCTGTCTTCGTATGTTCCTCTCCTCCCAACACCATTATCTTCATCAACACTACTCCAAGTGCTACTCCTCGCCTCCTCACTAGCCACCACCACCACCACTCCCTTCCTCCCTGATAGGAACCTAATACTGAAAATAAAAAGTAATGCAAAGAAAATAAAAATAAACAAAGTGAACTCAATTCACTTCATCACAATAATCCTCACAATGAGTGGAGGGGTTTACTAATCCGGGATCGGAATGAGGGGAATTTAACTGATGTGAGGAATCATAATCGGATTTCTATTACTGAATTGTCTGGAATCACAACCCTAGAGCAGTACTTTAGTTTATGTGAGCGAAATTGGGGAGGGGAGAGTTGAATCCAGGACGTCGAATGCAACTGTGCAAGAGTGAACGCTCTTAACCAAATGAGATACAAGCCTCCTGCAAGCCCGGTGAAGTTCAGGCATAATCATCACAGATTCTTGTTATGACGATAGTGATCGCGTTAAGGAAGAGAGTCTCGAGTTACCTGCGCAAGTCAAGTCCAGTTATACCAGCTTGAAGGACTGTCAAATTTTCTGAATCTGGTGAGACAATGGTCACAGTGTCTTCAGAATACTGAGTCTTGAGTTTGGACATGAGCTGTATCACCCGAATGAATATGTCTGAGACGCTCTCGTTTGTGGTTCCATCATCGATAGGGGGAGGAAGAGTGTCTGATGCATATACCTGCGGTGCATTAACAAAATTACTAATCATACTTGCTTGTCAATGACTAGTCGAAAATTATATTAAAAGTCCTAGTGCTTCCTATAGGAGCACCCAAAAAGCGCTTTGGGTATTTTGTCAACTACATTCATAAGCATTTTAGGTTGTCAGGAAGCGGTTTTAATCAGTCTTTTTAGTAAATTTGGACTAATTTGGTGCCAAATGAAGCGCTAGAGTTCATAGTTCGCAATTACTAACTTGCGCACCTTCGACTGACCCCATTAACGGCTGCAATCATCTCTGCAGCCTGGTAAGCTCTCTGGGTGAGAGAAGGCCATATCCAACAGTCCTTGTCACAAGCTCCCATTTCCCTCAAATTGAAAGCTGACCTCACTGCCTGCTTCTTTCCTTTCTCCGACAACTCCTTATCGACAGAAGTTTTCACAACCGGATTTGTGTTGATTACTCCTATGCTCTCATACTCAGACTGCCCTGCCCTCACCAGAAAATACCTTCCAATTCCATTCACCCAAAAAACCAAGAGTCAAAAGAATACTCAACAACCAACTAATGTAATAGCACCATGGTTATACATTAGCATCACTGGAAATAATTTTCACACTCATTTTTCTCCTCTGCACTTCTCCCTTTATTTTTAGCCGTTAGATTGAATAAATGGAAATAGAATCAAGGAAGAGAAAACGAGAGCGTGAAAATTACAAGTAGTCTACCCTAAACATCATATATGATATATCACTTAGTCACTAGTAAGGCTAATATGGGGTAAAAAAATTCCAGCTTTGGTAACAAATAGCAATACGAACCACATCCCACAAAAGAAGAATTTTTATTGAATTAGGATTTGACGAATCGTTTGGATCTAGTTTAGCCTAATAAATAAATAATGTAATCCTATTAGTTGGTTTCCAATTTGCATTCTAATTTGATTGTTCTTCATCATCCTATTTCATAACGGATATCTTTCCAAATATGACCAGGATCACAAACACACTATATATTAATAAGAGCCATTAGCAATCAATCAATCTGCACAATCACAACTACATCGATCAAACGATAAAGATCATGTTGTATATTGATGATCTCCCTGATTTTGTATTGGTGGAAATCATTTGTCGACTCCCCCACGAATCCGCAGTTCGATGCAGGTGTGTTTCCAAGCGTTGGTTCAGTCTCCTCTCTGATGATTACTTTCGTTTATGCTTTTTGTGTGTCCAGGATGAAAAGCAGACCCCGGAGCCAACTACTCTGATCTTCACGAATCCAAAAGATGCGAGGGATTTCTTTACCATGTCCGAGCAGCCTCCTCTGATGCCGGAAAACCAAGGCCGCCCCCGCAGCTTCTCTTTGAGTTTCCTCCCTTGTTTTCAAAGGCCTGTCGACACACCAGACAAGGAACCAATTGTAGTAGCGGCATGTCGGGACTTAGTATTATGCTGCGCAACCAAGACTAGTTCAGACTACTACGTCTGCAATCCATCCACCAAGCAATGGGATGCCATTCCTTCCCTTTCTCATCAATGCTGCCAAGAGGAAGCGTGGGTCGGATTCATCTGCGAACCCTACTACTATAAGAAGGAATGCAGAGAAGATGGCAATGATAGCCGAAAGGAAAAAAGTAATACATTCCAACTTAACGTTGAGAGGAGGTTACGATTAACTCATTCATCCTTGCCGCCGCCTTTGGAAATAAAGCTCGAGATTTTCACTTCCGAGACTGGTAAATGGACGGAACAAATTTTCTTATACCAAATAGGATTTTCACTTAGTAGTTTGAATCGCATAGCGGTTGCCTTCAATGGAAATCTGTATTGGTGGAACTTTAACGCTGGCTGGGCGATCGATTTGGATATTGAACATCTTAAATGGCATTGCATTCGTAGGCCTCAAGATGATCAGTTCATCACTCCCATCCATTCATATTTTGAAATCCTAGATTCCATTAAAGCAAGATCTCGAAAAGGATATTGTATGCGAATGTGCCAGTTCACTCAAAATCGAAACTGTCCAATTTTTCTGAGTGTTTGGGAGTACTTGGAAGATGAAGAGGCCAATAACGCTGGCAAATATTGGTATTTAGTAGGCAGAGTTTCCCTGGACTGGATGATTTCGCAAAATCCATTGACCATGGAATCGAAGGAGAAAAAGGTAAGGACGTTCGGTTTTGACCCAAATAATGAGGATATCTTATATCTACAATTATCTGGATACGTTGTTATGTATAACATTGGCGCAAAAACGGTAAAAGTGGTTTGGAAAACTGAGCTCACTTATGATCATGTTCTACAACGACGAGTTGTCTTTCCATATCTGCACCCATGGTGGCCGACGCCACTTCCTAAACGGAAGGGAGACCTCTACAAGACCAAGCAGCAACAGGGATGAGATGCAACGGCAGAGCCAGGAATTATTAGGTTGGTGGGTTAAGTTAAAATTATTACTACCAAATCAAATGCTCAATTTTTTTCGTTGCCTACGTAAAGCTATGTAATTTAAGTAAGAATTTTATAGTCTGCTTTTAGGTTCTAGCCTTCAAACTTTCAAATGAATATATTATTGTATAGAAGTCTTAATTTATTAAATTTTAGTATGGTTAAAGTGATGAGTTTATTTAACATTTATTAGCTCTTATTTTCCCTAAAAACACTTCTTAAGATTCAAACTTTTCATTTTCTAGGAGGGCTACCACAATTAAAAAAAAAATCATAAAATAGGTCAAACAATTAGTATTTTTAGGCTTAATGAACCCTAAGTTATAGCTTATTGGAGCCTTATACTTGGCTCTGCCGATAAACTGTGCTGACGGAGCCAAAAAGAGACAAGAATAGGCCCAGGCCTATCCAACATCCTTCAAATTCTTTTTGAAACTAAAAGGATTAAAAAGAGAGGAAGAAGTTCGATTGAGGACAATCATAATTGAGGAGAAGTTCGATTAAGGACAATCATAATTAGATTTCTATTACTAAATTGTCTGGAATCACAACCCTAGGGCAATACTTCTGTTAATGTGAGCAAAATTGGGGAAGGGAGAATCAAACTCAGGACCTCCAGTGCAACTGCACAGGAGTGAATACACTTAACCAAATGAGATACAAGCCTCTTGCAAGCCCGATGAAGTTCAGTCTATCAAAAGAAATAACGTTAGTTACAATTTGGTGGTTTTAGGCATTTATACACAGCTGATGCAGGTTGCTTGTAAGTAGGTACACTATTGGTATCAACAAATCTGACTTCTCCTGGTGCAAAAGAAAGTTCCCTGTGCCTGAAACTCAAAAAAAAATCACGACATTTTAGCACTTACAATGCTCGATAACAATCACAGATTCTTGTTATGACGATAGTGATCGTGTTAAGGAAGAGAGTCTTGAGTTACCTGCGCAAGTCAAGTCCAATTATACCAGCTTGCAGGACAGTCAAATTGTCTGAATCTGGTGAGACAATGATCACAGTGTCTTCGGAGTATTGAGTCTCGAGTATGGACATGAGCTGTATCACCCGAACGAATACATCTGAGACGCTCTCGTTTGGGGTTCCATCATCAATGGGGGGAGGCTTGATTGCGGGAGAAAGAGTGTCTGATGCATATACCTGAGGTGCATTAACAAAATTACTGATCATACTTGCTTATCAATCACTATATATTCTACTTCGTTGAGAGAACAAAAGTGTGGATGTTCATTGGAAATTGTACTTCTGAAACAGCTTCTAGGTTCTTTCCTTCATAAGCCCCCAATCCACGGGCGTCGAGAAAGCTATACTCTGGGACGATATAACTGCAAACAGAAATGCATGATGATTGCACAAAGCTAACATCTTTGGATAGATTTATAGAGGTATACTCAATCAGCATGGTCCACGGTGGCTATCATTCAGAGTTGGCCTCGAAATTTCGAAAATCATGCTACCAATTCAGATTAAAATGCATGGAAACAATGAGTTTGATTCGGGAAAATGGCCTCCCCTTTGAATACTAGAAGTACTTTTATTATGAACCAGTCGAAAATTAAAAACCTTAGAGCTTCCTAGAGGAGCACCCAAAAAACACTTTTGGTTTTTCTGTCAACTATATTCATAAGCATCTTAGGTTGTCAGAAAACGGTTTTAATCAGTCTCTTTAGTAAATTAGTTCTAATTTGGTAACAAATGAAGCACTAGAGTTCATAGTTCATAATACTAACTTGCGCACCTTCGACTGACCCCATTAACGGCTGCAATGATCTCTGCGGCCTGGTAAGCTCTCTGAGTGATAGAAGGCCATATCCAACAGTTCTTGTCACAAGCCCCCATTTCCTTCAAATCGAAAGCTGACCTCACTGCCTGCTTCTTCCCTTTCTCCGACAATCCGTTATCGACAGAAGTCTTTGCAACCGGATTCGTGTTGATTACTCCTATGCTCTCGTACTCAGACTCCCCTGCCCTCACCAGAAAATACCTTCCAATTCCATTCACCCAAAAACAACAGTCAAAAGAATATTCATCAAGCAACTAATGCAATGGCACCATGGTTATATATTAGCATCACCGGAAATGATTTTCACATTCATTTTTCTCCTCTGCAGTTCTCTCTTTATTTCTAGCCGTTAGATTGAATAAATAACTATAGACTCAGGAAGAGAAAACGGGAGCGTGAAAATTACTATCAGTCTACCCTAAACATCATATATGATATATCACTTAGTCACTAGTAAAGCTAATATGGGGTCAAAAATTTCCAGCTTTCTGGAAACAAATAGCAATACAAACCACATCCCACAAAACCCATTACTTTGTTATCCATGATTTTATTCAATTTTCTCATAAACCAAACTGCAATTCATGTATAAACAAAAAATGGGTTTGCTGAATTACCGGTTGGTGAGCCTGACTGGGGGCATCTGGAATAGGCCACGAGCAAAGGCTGCTTCTTGTGCTGACATGGGGCTGAGAAAATTGTGTGCAAATGGGGTTGCGGCGGCGGTGGAGACCGTGAGCGCGGCGAGGAGGCTGCGGCGGCTGATGGGTAGGAATGAATTGATGGGGTTTTGAGTTGTTGACGATGGACTTTGAGGAGGAGGAGGAGGAGGAGGAGGAGGAGGGCGGGGTTTAATGGAGGAAGATGTTGCTAGCATTTTTGGCGGGTGTTTGGGGGGCGGAGTGAGTCTTAACTAACTAAACCACTACTTTTGGTTGTGCTTGCTCTCTGTATTTCCTTCAGTCTTCACTTCGTCCAACCAAATCCAAGCCAATAGGCGCAGACCAATTGGAGCTGAAACGACATGTAGTTTACCTCCTGAAGTACAATAAGCAAATTGCCGTCTTCTATCCAAAGGCAAATTCCTCCAACAAAGCCCACTGGCCCCACTCCAAAGCCCAGAAAATCCAGGTCATAAACATCCAAGTCTCCAGCTCAGCCCACTACAGCCTTGTCTCAGTCGAACTTAGATTTGGATAAATTACAGTTTGCATCTTTAAGTTTAAGTGCAACTGTAATCTCATACATCATTTTTAAATCTACGTTTTCTGTAAAATTGGTTGTTATTTGATGAAGTGACAAATATTGGTTCCACATGTATGCACATGTGCCAGTCAAATTTTTTCATAGGGACGATAATAGTTAAATCGCCAACAAATTTTGAAAAAAAAAAACGTGAAAAGTTGGAAACCCTCCTGTTCCCTATCATTCTTGTTGGAAAATAATAAGTTTAATTTAGGATTTGGGTCCAGCCTATTAGAATTAGGTTTTCGTTTAGAGATTAGGGTTTAGTTTATTATAAATATGAAGTTTGTTATCCACTTGTGAATAAGTCAGTAAAGATATAATCTCTTTGAGTTATATAGACGTCTCGGCATTCTTCGTAATCCTTTGTTTGTAGAGCGTACCTTGGTTTTCAACTATTCTTCCCCCTTTCCGTTCCACACAAGGCCACCCCATCGCAAACTCCACCCGTTGACCCCCTCCGTCAGTAACCTAGCAAACCAGACGTACCGCAAACCACCACCGAGACTGCGAGGCCACCCCCCATAGGAATTGCCAAGTCAAGAGCCGTTGTTGCATACGTTCTCTCTTTGTTTGAGCTTCTATCCCCTTTTTTGATCACAGAAAACAAAGGGGTGGCCTCTTAATAATTTGTAGCTGCAGCTACTAACTAGATATATTGTTGGTTAGTGATGCTTTATATATGTAGCAGGGACTAGTAACTGAAATGCACGCTGCACAAAATTAGTGAGCAACTTAAGCCAAAAATATGAAGCATCTTTGCCTTAGTAGTATTATAAACTAGAAGCTCTGGGATTCACCAAACCCCATATGTGAACTCAAACTTAACATTATCTAGTTCAGCTAGCTGCAGCTACCTTTCGATGTTCGAGTCCCTTTGAATATGTTGATATAAATCGCACTCCCCCTGTTTTCTGTAACTGATCTCTGAAGACACAATGACATGGTTCACTGAAAGGAGCCAGTTGCTGCTGTCTGCTACACCAGATTAAATATATATGCTTTCCTGAAACTCTATATGAACTAGGCCACACCATTTTCCAGGTTTCCCTCTTCAATTTAGGATAACATGAAACTGGGTCTTGAATAGCACTATCACAAAATCTGTGTTTAAAAAAATAAAAAAAGGGGTAGTAGTGGGGTACCACTCCGAGCTGGGTCGCTGTTTTTAAGGAAAACTCTCCCAAAAAGGTTTTTTTTGTATAAGCGGATGATTGAACTCCTGACCTTCCTAAAGATGATACTCAAAAGAACCGTCCAACTTGTGGCCTAGCCAGCTTTTACCATACGGTAGAATAAGAGAGCCTCATCGATACGTTGTCAAAGTTGTCAATAGTGTCTTATTATGGTGATAGCAAATAGTCTCAAGTAAAGTAATCAATATGTTGTGTTGTTATACTGGTAATGATGTAAGAAGTGATTGTTGCGCTCTTTCATTTTCTTTTGCTAATATTATATTTAAAAAACAACATTCCTTAATAAAGGTCCAAAAGTACATAAAAGACAATGCACAAGATAAATTTTTTAACATCACTGCAAAATCAATAACCTCAAAAGACTAAACTAAAGCATACAACACCTGTAGAAACAACTAATCCAGCATAATCCCTGTTCAAGCCCACATAACCCAAAAGCTAAATTGAACCATAGCCGTAAACTATAACTACCACCATGAATCGAAGCCACACTCAACTCCGATTTGGTCCCAAAAAATCTCTTTTGAAAACTTCAGATGTCCACTACAAATCCTTAGAAGGAATCTTCCTCAAATTATGCTATCTGGACCTCCAAGATACCCAAAACGTCTAGAAACGTCAATCTAAGAAAGCTGCACGCTGGGCCTTCTTTTCTTTGCCATGGTCAAACAACTTGGTAGATAAATCTGGAACTTTGCTACAATCATCTTGAAAAACTCACGAACATCCTACAATTGGAATCACTCCAAAATTCATCCATTTGATCATTTTTTGCTTAAGAGAAAGTCAAATGTCCTACATTGAAAATACATAACAAAGTATCAAAATTCTACTAAAATAACCAATAAATTAATACTAAGAATAGGGTAAAATATATGGTATAATATGGACTCATCAATGGATAAGGAGAATATCAATCTTTAATGATCCAGCTGCGCATAATAGCAGATAAGAGTCATTAACAGAAGAAGTACACCGCCATTGCGGCGCCCCGTGCCAATTAAATAAAACATATGTAAGTTCTTGTCCATATGTCTGTGTTTCACTGAAACGAGATGTCATGTGGCTGTGTACCCGTACCATATAAGTCATCCACTAATAGCAGTTAATAATCGTCATCAAATAAGGTTGGCCAAAATCGCACAGGCAAATCATAATGAAGTTCGATGATCAAACACGATTGCTGGATCCCTAGGAAAATGATCTGGTGAGGATCATTTTTCAAAGAACAGCAATTGCAGTCAGCAATCAGTTCGGATTCTCGCCGGATCTTCTTTGTGAGGATTTCAGGAATCCATGAATCATGTTCGTTCATCGTATGTCGTGCGATCGGAAATTATTTTAAACATTTTTATTTAAAAATAAACATAAACAGTACTTAACAAAAACTGACTACACGATGTACGATGAACGGACATGATTCACGAATCATCAAAATCCTTAAAAGAATTCAGAAAGGATTTGGGTCAGCAATTGCAATAATCAGGGATGAGGATCTCATCCGGATCCAAACAGTGGGGATCCTCACATCCTAACCGTTGATCGTATATCGTGCGGTCAGAAATCATTTGAATTTTATTATTTAAAATTAAACACAAATAGTACCTGACAAAAACTGACTGCACGATATAATGAACGGTTAGGATATGAGGATCCCTAAGATCCCCACCATTTGAATTCGGATGGGATCCTCATCCAATAATCAGCGGCAATTACAACACTAACTGCAGCACAACACACGGCGAAAAGAAACTGCCCTTTGAAAAAAACTATGTCCAAAACTGAAATTACAGAACATACTGATTGCTTTATCAAACCAACAAGCACACGTTGTTAAGCTGCACCAGTTTCAAACACGGGACACGGCCGAGAAACAGCAGACAAGCACACACTGCAACTAACCAATACACGGTACAATTGCTAAAAATACAGCAATTGTACACAAAATTTACTATTTAGAATTCAGATCAAAACCAAGCTCTTGATGTCAAGAAGAAGTACAATAATATTTCGTTATTTTATTTATCTTTTAGGATTTACAATATAGGCATATACACTTTATTTTATAATGAAAGTAGTTACAAAATATAAAAAAAACTAAATTTTAAAGCTTACATATTCTAGTTCTACTTAAAATAGAACTCTAATAATATTTCGAATTAAGACTCAAATGTGAACAATGAGAGGTCCTCCTCTTCTCTTGCGGCTATTGTTTTTCCCTAGAGTTTCTCTTCTCTTTCTCCTTAATTTTTTTTCTAACATTAATAATAACTTAATGACAAAAGAAGCAAAAAGTCAAAAATAAAGTGAGTGAGTACAAAATGAGAGATTGGGAGTGTAACAATCACTCCACAAGTGATATTTGAAAGCTGTTCCCCAAAGAGTGTAACAATCACTCCACTAGTGATATTTGAAAGCTGTTCCCCAAAGAAAAACTACCGCCTTCTACTTCAAATATGTTTTTGTACTGATCGTGAAAGCTTTGCAAGATTACTCAACTGGTACGTCTACCGTGGAACATATTGTGGAGGACTCAAAGGCGTTACTGCTTAGGTCCATTGGGGCTTCAGTTGCCCTCACTTGTCGCCAAGTCAATGAAATCACGCATCGTCTTGCTCGTCATACTCTTCAAATGGAGACCGCTTCTTGTTTCTGGTTTGAGGAGCAACTTGATCTCGTTCCGAATTTGTTAGTGGATGAAAGTGTCTAACTGTGGCAATGTATTTTGCTTGCCTGATGTGTAGTATGTTCCCTTTATGATTAATGAAATCTCCTATTGTGACATCCCACATCGCTCATGGGAGTGATCCTTAAATGTATATTCCCATCCCTATCTTGCACGAGGCCTTTTGGAAGGTCATTGGCTTCGAGTTCCGTAGGAACTCCGAAGTTAAGCGAGAAGGGGGCTAGAGCAATCCCATGATGGGTGACCCACTGGGAAGTTGCTCGTGAGTTCCCAAAGACAAAACCGTGAGGGAATGGTAAGCCCAAAGCGGACAATATCGTGCTACGATGGTGGAGCGGGTCTGGGAAGTGATCCGCCCCGGGCCGGGATGTGACAAATTGGTATCAGAGCCTAACCCTGGACGTGGTGTGCCGACGAGGACGTCAGGCCCCTAAGGGGGGTGGATTGTGACATCCCACATCGCTCATGGGAGTGATCCTTAAATGTATATTCTCATCCCTATCTTGCACGAGGCCTTTTGGGAGCTCACTGGCTTCGAGTTCCGTAGGAACTCCGAAGTTAAGCGAGAAGGGGGCTAGAGCAATCCCATGATGGGTGACAATATCGTGAGTTCCTAAAAAACAAAACCGTGAGGGAATGGTAAGCCCAAAGCGGACAATATCGTGCTATGGTGGTGGAGCGGGCCCGGGAAGTGACAATTTGGTATCAGAGCCTAACCCTGGACGTGGTGTGCCGACGAGGACGTCGGGCCCCTAAGGGGGGTGGATTGTGACATCCCACATCGCTCATGGGAGTGATCCTTAAATGTATATTCTCATCCTTATCTTGCACGAGGTCTTTTGGGAGCTC